ATTTCAGGTGAGATGGTGAAAACAGAAAAAAAGATTTAGGCTGGGGGGAAAATAACTCCACCTTAAAATGTCCACCTTTGTTTTTTTACAGAACTGATCACTCAAAAAAAAAAAAAAAAAAACGCACCAACCCCAACTCCTGGAGGATGAGCACAAATGTACATATTTAAACAAGCCTATGGATAAGATATCCTTGAACCCTGAAATGTTAAAACTAACAAATGTCTACAAATATTATCCTTTATTAGCAACCAATGTCTACAATGACAATTTCATTTGTTGTATCCCATTATGGCAGGCTATTTGCAATGTCTAATTAAAGCAAAATCACATTTTCTTTTTTTAGTTTGACTGATTGTCCTACTTGTTTTCTTTGTTTCAAAACTTTGCAAACCACAGGCAGGACAAACCGCATCCCCAAGATCAGGTTGCCCCAAATCAATGGGTGGAATGACTTTTAAAAAAAGGAATGACCCTGGATTTTAATTATTTTTCTTTGACACTGAGATTGGAAACGGACACCAAGGGAGTCTCTGAAGTGAATGATTTCTGCTGCTGCTTTTTTTATCACTTTTAGTGCCCTTGACAAAGATTTGCAATCAGACTACTTTATCAATGAAAATCACTGGTGCACAAAACAAGGTTTGTTTGTTTTTTGAGGTGACATGTCTCATTAAAGGCTCATGCTCCCACTGAAGCTTTTAGTCCTTGGGAGATGTGGGGGAAAGACCAATAACATTGCAGTTTTGTTTCAATGGTACTGCTATCTTCTACCAGACAAACATTTCTCAATCTTGGCGGCTTAAAGATATATATGGATGTCAACTCCAAAATTCATGGCTGCCTGAAGGATTCTGAAAGTTGAAGTCCACACAATGTCAAACCGCCAAAGTTGAAAAACACTGTGCTAGACAGTGTCTTGCATCTCATCAGAAGTGGTGCTGAGTTTTCCTTCAATTTCTGCATACTTTGGTCTGATTTCAACATTATCTAAAGTGTTTATAGACACCCATATACGTAAGCAGTCCTTAAAATCTGTAAAATAATCTAGTTATTTGTCTCAGTTTTCTTCCAGGAATTTTTTCTGTTTTCTCAATAGCTTCATCCAAATCCTAAGCAGAGCTAATACTGCTGCTTCACTTCCAAGAACAGCTAAAGTCCACTATGGGTTGTTATCTGTTCAGGCTGTTTATATACAGAAGTGGTTCCTTTTAGTGATTATATATTTGTGTATTCCTGTGCAGGTAAACCTCAACTTACAACCATTCAAAGTTATGACAGCACTAGAACTTACTTACAACTGGTCCTCACATTTATGACCATCCCAGCGAACCCATAATCATGTCATTGCCATTTGTGACTTACCTGGGGGCTTCTGACACATAAAGTCTATTGGGGAATGCCAGATCTGCTAAATGACTGCAAAAAAAAGGGTAGCAAAATTTGCTGCAACTCACTTAGCAATGGAAGTTCTGGTTCCAACTGTGGTTGTAAGTGGAGGACTACCTGTATTTGTGGGGTCTCTGTCATCGCTACATAATTGATTTTTTGTTTTGTTTTATTCTGGGCTGTGCGTTTATGTGTGTTTTGTTTTTCTGAATTTTGTAAGCTACTCAGAATATACAGTCACATGTAGGTGACTATAAAGCACTCTTATCATCACTCAGAAGCATTCTGTGTCCATATGGCTTGTCTCCCACAGGTTCAGCAATGAAATTATATTATTATATTCTCCATCTCTCCATGCCCAGGTCACTTATAGTTGTCCTCAAGAAATAACTTCAACAAAGTTGTTTCATGGCAAATGAAACTCCTTAAAAATTGCAGTTCAAGCTGTGGAAAGTAGATGTGTTTGGACAGAAAAGATAGACGCTTATTTACAATCTTCCCGCTTTCCCCTCTCCTACGCTGAGATACACCAGTCTTCCTCCAGGTAGGTGGCCAATTTGTTCCAATCGTTGTGTGAGGAGAGCTATGTTAGACCATCGTAGCACAAAGTCAGGAATCTGGAAGCACTTTTTTTTGACTAATATGTTTCTTCCAGAGATTTTTTCCAAGAAGGAAAATGAGAGAAATATAAAGGCAAGCAGACATCAAGTTATAGAGCTCAAAATGGTTCCCTGTTTTTAATATGAGAAGAAACTGAATGCTGTCTACCCAGAAGATGACAGCTTTCCCACTGGCTGTGTTCCTACAACATGCTTATACCTACAGTTAACTGAATAATGGTTTTATGCATGGGTGTCAAACTCACGGGGTCATGTTGCCATCATGTGACATTTCTCCCATTCGTGGAGCTGGAGTGGGCGTGGCCTGCATGTGATGCATCTGGCCTGCAGGCTGCCAGTTTGACATCCTTGGTTTTATGCAATTAATCTCATTTCTAGACTCATGAACTGTACCATGAACATGGGTTTCAATTTGCACATGTATGTTACAAACTGGTTGGCTAACTTGTGCCTCATTGTGTCATGTCAACACAACCACTGCTTTTACCACTGTATTCTGTTTATACCCAACCTTATTTTTGGGAGCTCAATGAGATATACTCAGATATTTTTTTCTCTTAACAATAACTCTGTATTGTAAGTAGGTAAGCTAGAGTTAGCTATACTGGTTATTCAGTGCTTAGTATTTAAATGGAGACTTGAACCATGGACCAAGCCCAGTCTCTTAATCACTGTTTCATATTGTCTCTCAAGTTCAAGTTCTTAATAGTCAATGCAAAATTCAATTAAGGCTACAAGATTGTATCATTTTACATCATGGTGGCAAGATCAGTTCCACGTCATCTCTTTTTGTTTGTAACTAGAATGGCATCCCATTCTACTTATTCAATCTATGAGCAAGGTCAATTGTTAAAAAAATCAAAAGACAAATTCAAAACTAGAATGGGAGCCAGTAATATCATCTTTGCAACCATTGCTTGTAACAAAGAGAGATGGTCACCATCCTTTGTTCAAGAAGAAAGTGCAGTTCATTTAAGAGAAGCTATGTTATTTCTGATGGGAAGATCTTTACTGCTATACAGAGGCATTGGGCCAAGTCTTTCATCTAGTTTAGGATTCAGAGGAAGGATTGTTATTCAGACAGGTGTGCCCTTGCTTAAAGCTACAAGTGTAAAGGAATTCACCTGTTGTAATACCTCTGTATAATACTTAATATAAGAGCTTATGCCTGGTTCTTTTTAAATCCCAGCTAACATCATTTCTAGGAAACAGAGAAGCTGCAAAACAGAAAAAGAGGGTTTACTAATCCAGATGAAATCTTAATATATCTTGCTAGTCCATGTATGATATGTCATATGCTAAATAAATAACTGCAGAACAGAACTTGGGATTTCTTCCTTAGGACTCTGAAATATTTCAGAAGAATCAAAGCATTTGTTCCCTGGAGGTTTACTTTTTGAAACCATCTCTACAGTCTCTACAGTCCATTACAAACAGGCACAAGGAGCGCAGTTGCAAAATGCACTTAGCCAGAATTCAGTTTACTCAATTAAATCCATTTAAAACAAAATAACCTGACATAGTTTTCACTACAGGTTGTCAAATACAAGAGAAGTTCCTTGAAAAATGGGCTCCAGCATGAGTCTGGAAGCTCAAAAGACTAAATCTCCAGTCCCGGTGACCGATCCAAATTCGATTTATCCTGGGACACCTATATTTGCCTTCATTTGTGCGAATACAGCAGGTAGGGATTGACCCTGGCCTTTGTTTTCCCCGACTTATTCAGAATAGGTTATTTATTGCCGCTGCCTGTTTGTGCCTGTGTGTTAGAGGCAACTAAAGAAACTCAAGATTTCATCCTTAGCTTTAGGCATCATTTTCTTAGGGCGGAAAATAAATAATTATTTACAGAGAGTTTAGGGAACCTTCGCCAACGGTCACCTCGATCTCACTAGTTCATCTACCCAACTTTCAAGGCAAAAGGGACACGCGGTCATCGAGTGGCTACGCTCCAGAGAACAAAGGTTCCCCCCCCCCCCCGTGATTCACGCATGATTTCGGGCGGGACTCAGGTGGGGGCGAAGACAAGAGGGCGGGGACGCCCTGCAGGCTTTTTCCTTGCCCTTCAACCGAAACTCGCCCCCCTCCCCCCCATCTCGAGGGCGAAAGGGTTTCTTTTTTTCCTGCAAAACTAGCGCGCGCCATCAAAACTTCAGGGCACCACCCAACCCTAGCCCGGATCAAGAAAGGGAAGGACGGCTGTCTCTTCCATGGGAGAAAGAGAAGAACGCGGTGAGCCAGAGTTTTACGCAGTTGCCCGCCGCACGATCCCCCATACACCTGTCGTTTCTTACTCCTCAGGAAAGGAAAGGAAATTCTCCTCCTCCTTCTACCTAGCGTTATTCCTGCTTTATGGCAGGATCCGCTTAAAAGAAAAGGGAAGAAAAAAGAAAGAGAAAATAAAAGAAACCCAAGGACAGGAGGGAATATATTTAGGATCTATTGTCCGAAAGTCACTAGTTGGGATTAAAGCCCGTTTTTGTCCTATAGAAGGAAGATCACTTGAGTTTCAATTCCTGAATCTCGGCGGCCTCGTGTTTTTTTCGGGATACTTTTTATTATCTTGAATATTGCTAGCCGCCCAGAGTCACGAATTAGAGGTGAGAGGCAATATAAATCCAATAGACATATGAAGGAAATAAATAAATGAAGATCAACGATGACTTTATCCAACACAGCTGGTTAGGTTAACTCTCTCTCCCACAAAGTACATTTGGAAACCAACCCAGGCACATTAGGCACGGTCGCGCTTGAGCGCTACCTGACTTTCAAAACAGCAGGTTGTCCCAAACGCTCCGCTAGTAACTCGAGGCTCTTTTGAGCTGGAAAAAAGCAGGTGTCGGGTTCGAGTATATATTTTACTTATATATGTATATGTGTGTGTGTGTGTATATACATATATACATATATACATATATACATATATACATATATACATATATTCCATAAAAGCCAAGTATTCCGTCTTCCTCATCAAGACCCGACTCTTACCTGTTCAGTTAGAGGTAAAGTTTCAAGTTCGTTTCCACAGCTGGATAGGACGCTGCAAAGGATAAATGCACGCACCTTTCTATATGGGGCTGGCTATATATCCCTCTCTTTCCCCTCATCCCTCCCCAGACCACACCCCTACCATCCCGTGATGACGTCACCGACAGGTGAAACTGGCGACTTGGGACAGGAAGCGAGAGGAGAAACAAGACCCTAAAGCGAACGAGGGAGGCGCGCGGGGGGGCGGGGGGTGTCGGCTGTTTGGATGCAACATGCTTGGACTCGTATCGCGGTTCCTCACGATGACTGTGGCCGAAGGACGAATCCAGGGCTTCAGCGGGGCTTGCCAAAACTTTACAGGAAGAGATTAAAAGGGACCAGTGAATCGTTAGCAGGGATGTTTCTAGGAACTAGTTTCGCGCTGAATCAGAACGTCCTCTGTTTTCTTTACAGGAACACAGCGAGTCTCTTTACTTATAAGCGAGGTTAAGCAAGCCACGACTGGACTCACTAGGTTAATATGGCCATTCTGAAACTTATAAATTCTGATGACCCTCATTTACAAATTTTTTTGGGGGCTCCTCTTCCTTTGAGACGACTTCTGTTCTTTATTTGTGTGTGTGTGTGTGTGTCTGTGTCTGTGTCTGTCTGTCTGTCTGTCTGTCTACCCAGCCACCCTTTTCCATCCATCTATCCATCCATCCATCCATCCACCCACCTTGGAAGTTAAAACCCACCCCTCTCCTAGAATAATGAAATATTTCAGGAAGCACTAAAAAGGCAGAATATTTCCCCTAAAACAGAAGTAGAAACTCAGGCAGAAACTCACCCCCACTTCTTTGATAATGGGCATTAAGGCCTGGGGCAGTCTATTCTACATAACAAAGATCTACCTCCATAAGACAGAGGCATTTAATTGCCCTTCATTGCATCACCCACCAAGTTTCAACCAAACGTAGCACACAATCTACAAAGCTAGCTATGACCTTTGACAGCAACCAATCAGGATACTCTTCCTGTTCCCCAGGAAGTTCAAAGCGCAGAGAGGGCATAAAACTCAGGGACTCTTAGCGTCTCTCCCCTTTTTCTTCGCCCAAGAGCTCCAAGGAATGTGATCCTGTCTACCATTAAACTATCTTTCCAAACAGCCTCCATGTTTCCAGTGTCTTTTTCCCTAATTGGAACTCAACCCAGAAGGATATTTCTTCCAACACTATCTATCTATCTGTCATCCACCCAAAGTTTCCATAAAATCAGAAGTCTAGCCGCACTTTTTCCAACTAGCATTTGTTAATAAAAGGTAATTTAATGAAGTTTATTAGCCGGAAAAGGTGCCATAGGAACTTCCTGATTTTTGGGGGGTCACTATAGACTAACATGGCTCTCATCCTACTCATTCCATAAATGGCACTTCGGGACTTTGTCCTGTTATTTCATTGATTTATTTGCAAAGCTTTCTATCCATCCCAGCTACAAAGAGACCTTCAGTCAGAAAACCTTGGATTGAGTTTTGGTAAACTGCCTTGTATAGATGATGAGAGAAGGACCTCTGCCCCCTCGCCTAAGGCTTCAGATTAGGGCTCCTGAATGTACAGACAACAAGCAAGTCACTGTTCCAGCCTCAGTTTCTCCAATCTGCGGCATGAATGTACTTGTATTGTTCTGTTTTACAGGATGGTTGTGGGGGAAAAAAAGTCCCTTGATCATGCAGATAGAACGTTTGGAAAGAAGTACTATAGAAAAGGAGAAGGAGTTATAGAAAAAGTAGAAGTACTACAGAAGTACTTCTATAGAAGTACTTTTATAGAAGTACTATAGAAAAGGAGTTTGAGTTGAGTAGTTAAGACATCAGGATATAAAGACTGGGAGACTGAGTTCAAGTTATGCCTTAAGTACAAAGCCAGTGGGATGACTTTGGGCCAGTCAATCTCTCAGATTTAGGAAGGGGCCAATTAAAAAAAGCCTGGCCAAAAAATCTGCAGGGAATTGTCCAGACAGTTGCCCAGTCTCAAAAACAAACTCCACCACCTCCCTCCCAGAAATGTCCCTATATTACTGCTATTGCCATATTTCAGGTTAACTGATGGCACAGAAAAGATTTGGAACTCAGCAGTTCTAGTGCTTCCTGTCCTCTTCATGTGCTCAGAGGAACTGTTATTCAGACATGGTAGAATTGAGCAGAGGTATAAATAAGAGTTTGGAGATTCAAATCTATGGATTTATGTTTCAAATTAACTCTCTATAGTAATGATGTTTGAAGGTGAAGAATTGTTCTCTGAACTTGTGGGTTGGTTTCCAAACATTTATTTATCAGACTAGGTAACATCTCCAGCAAAGTTGGGGGCATGTCAGTGTTCTTCTGTTCATAAGGGCTTCAGGTGTGTCAAGTGAGGGTCTTGTGATGGGTTAGGTTATAGTCGTAAGTATTTCAGTAACAATATTGGTTTGAGAGTCATCAGGTCCAGCCTTATCATTAGGCAAAATGGGACAGTTTTTTACTGTTCGATACAGTAGTCCTTAACTTACGACCACAACTGAATCCAACATTCGTCTTGTTAAGGGAGACATTTGTTAAGTGAGTTTTGCCGCATTTTACGACTTTTCTTGCCACCGTTGTTAAGTTAATCATTGCAGTTGATAAGCTAGTTAGTAACCTGGTTGTTAAAATGAACCTGGCTTCTCCAATTGAATTTGCTTGTGAGAAGATCACAAAAGGTGATCCCATGACCTTGGGACACAGCAACGGTTGTAAGTATGAACCAGTTGCAGAGCATCTGAATTTTTCAGTGCCGTCGTGACTTTGAATGTTCACTAAATGAATTGTTGTAAGATGAAGACTACCTGTAGTGGGGTCCAGGGATCAAGAATAAGAAATTGGGGGAAAAAGCAAGGTAGCCTGTCCTGTGCCCACTAAATTGCCCCTAAGGTAGCTGGCTGATTTCTCATGGGCATCCCACTTGTTATGGTCAAAGTAAGATTCGACTGTTGGTATCAACTTTTATGCATGAGCTGGGTGGGTGGGTGGGTGCTTTGTTTTTGCTTCAGGCAGCAAAATATCTTGTGCAGGTCTTGAGGGGGGGGGGGGGGGGGGAGAGAGAGAGAGAGAGAGAGAGAGAGAGTTGAAATATGAAGGTGTAAGTGAATTGTGTGTGTCAGTAACTCCTCCCTACCATTGGTATGCCATTATCCGTGGGTTTGCACAAAGGAATGCAAACCCCTGGAATAAAAGAAGTTTCTCTTCCTACTTCTTTTAAAAATAACCTTTGTCAAACCAGACAAAAATCCATCTGATTCAACATCTACAGCCAATCAAACCCTTCCAGAAGGCTCAGTGGTTCCTAGAAGACTCCTGCTTAGAGGTTCTCATTCTACCTCCAAACACGAAGTTTTTCTTTAAATAGCTGGAAGCCATCCCCTCCCTTTAAAAGTCATCAAAGCAGGTAAAGCCTTCATTTGAGGCTGGGGATTCTGAAAATAAGAGAGCAGTCCTAAAGATGTGTCCCCAGCACTTTGCTCTTTTGAACTGCAAAGGGACTTCATTCTTCAAGTGTGCTTAGGAACACAAAGAAGAGTTAACTTGGAGACCACTGGAGATCTACATTCCTGAGTTTCTGGGACAACAAGGAAGTAAATAAGAAGGTTGGGGGCTGGGAGTCCAAATCCTTTTCAGGGAGGAACAAACAAGGGATCTTAGAGCTATATGCAGGTTAAAACACTTGATACTTGGTGACCCAGTATAGCTCCTTTTTCTTTACTGGGGAGTCACATTAGATATCCCTCCTTTGAGATGAGGCTAAGGACTTTAGGGGTACCAAATTGTTATTGTGTTTCCTCGTTCGGTTGAACCATAACGTGGTTGGTTCGGGTTTAGCATGGAATGAATGTGCAAATCCTGCCTTAGTGAAATATTGATTTAACACTGGATCCTTTATTTATGAATTTTGTATTTGTGATAAGCTTAGGTTAGATAAAGGTAGCACTGTGGCTTTGATCAGGATGCAAGCCAATGTGTCAGTTTCTTGGGGTTCTAAAGAACAAGAAAGTGTGTGTGTGTGTGTGTGTGTGTGTGTGTATATAGTTTCTTGGGGTTCTGAAGAACAAGAAAGTGTGTGTGTTTGTGTGTGTGTGTGCATGTGCGCACATACATACACAAGAGCATGCATGCACACACAGGAGTTGAATAACCCCCTGGTGGGTGTGAAACTGTCCCCTTTGGGGCATGACAATGAATGTTGCAAATGTATACAGCTAAGAGATCCGGCCCTTTCATTTCTGGGAAAGGAGGAGGAGGAGGAGGAGGAACAGAAAAGTGGAAGCTGTTCAGAGAATGAGCTGTGGGATGTCTGGTGGTTTAACAACAGCATCCTAGAGAAAATCAACAAAAGGAGATTTCCTAAGACCCACAGTATGTTTAACCAATGGTAAAAACCAACTAAACTGCCTCAGAATAGTGAAATAGCTTGCAATTTTTCCATAGTTCACCATCAAGACTAATGAAATATGACACGAGGTTATGTTCTTTTGTAACATTTTGTTAGTCCTAAATCTACACTTTACACTTCGTTTTTCTCACAAATATGATTTTGCTACAGAATCTTGCTACAAAACAGAAAATAAAAATTGATCTCAGGAAAAATATAAAAGTTAACATTAGCTTTTATATTTTTCCCGGGACCAAGTTTTATTTTCTGTTTTGTAACAAGAATTTAAGAACACCAGATTTTGTTTGTGAAGAAAAGATCATGGAATGTGGCTGTATTAATCGCCATAGCAAAAATAATACCCCTAAGTTTGCATCACAAATAAAGCCATAATGATCCCTTCAGAGGCAATTCCAGGAAGACTGACCAGGGCTGTTGATCATGAAATGCTGACCAAGATTCTTTTTTCAGAATGACTTTCTACCCCAGGGTTTTTCAAACTGGTTTTTGCAGAACTGAAAATAAACTTGATGGGTTCTGTGAGAGAATAAGGGGGGGAAAAAAAGTTCACTCAAAGACAAACAATTTTTTATCCCTAGAGAGGTGGTATTTTTTTAACCTTGGCAACTTGAAGATAGGTGGACTTCAGCTCCCAGAATCCCTCAGCCAGCATGAAGTTGGAAGTCCACCCACCTTCAAAT